GATCAAAGGCTGTTTGAATAAGGGAATAATGACAAAAATAATTTACTTGGACACTTAAAAAGTCATGCTATACCTTTGGAAAATTGGGTTAATGGGAAGACATTTATTTTTTTAGAAGAAAATGGCTTAAAGCTTAAATCCAAAGCATTGTATAAGTTGTTTGACTGAGTTCGAAGATGATCAAATATTAAATAGAATGATTTAACCTCCTCAATCACAAGATTACTCTTCTATCGGATTTTTATGGGAGAAATTAAAAGTAATGTCAAAAACTAATGCTTAATAATGCATAAAATGTAAAAAAAAACTCTATTGACCTCGACAAACTGGATTAATCGTTAAGTAGAATGCCAAGAATATATATGGCGGTAATTGTTGCTAATGATGATTAATAGGCAAGTAAATTATAAACTAATCTAATGGGATTTTATATTAGTTTTTTTTTCAATCTAATAATTAGGAAGATAATATAATTAGGTAGATTTTGTTTTCAGTTTTCCTACCAATATTAAGTAAAACTTTGATATCTTATATCGAAAAGTACGAACATTCAAATAATTACGGACGGTAGTGTGTGTGTATATATGTTTTTTGAAACTAATAATTTTCTATGAATTTTTTCATAAATCTTTGAAAATTTATATTCCATAACATTAGTAGGCATCAAAATTAGCTTATTTTGTAAAAAAGTCAAATTTGATTTTTTTACTTTCAGGCGTTTTAAAACGGCTGTAGTAATCCCACCTCTGGGCAAGTTTTGCGACATAGGTTAGGAAGGAGGCGTGAACTTTAATGTTCTTCCGCGGGACTCTGTGATAAGACCGTAAGGACCTCTTGCGTAAGGGCACCTGAAGAAAAAAAGTTATAATAAATAAAAGTTAATAATATAAAAAAACTACCCAGCAAATATTTTTGTAGTGGATTTACAGTAGACCAATAAAGACATTTTAAGTAGTTCATTGCAGTTTTGCTCATAACTTTTCAGCATGTGGTATAGTAGCTAGTTATCGGCTAGCCGCTTTTGACGGCTATCACTAATGATTCACTAAGTAACCGATGAGCAAAACTACAGCGGATCGCTCAAAATGTATATACTGAAATTCCACTATAAGATATTTCCTGGGTACATTAAAAAGTACGTATTTGCGCTAGCCCTGGATCATATTCTCAAAAAAATTATTTATCTAAATAATTTTTTTTTATATAAATATGATATATATATATATATATATATATATATATATATATATATATATATATATATATATATATATATATATATATATATATATATATATATATATATATATATATATATATGATAAAATATATATCATATTTTATACAAATATATATATATATATATATATAAAATATATATATATATGTATATATATATATATATATATATATATACATATATATATATAATAATAATAATAATAATAATAATAATAATAATAATAATAATAATAAAGGATGATCCTTAAATTACGCAACGCTAATTTTATTTAAAAATCAGTTGCATGAGATCTTAAGCTTTTTTACGCGGCGATTTTCATTAAACTTTTGATTTATGATTTAACCTTAATGCTTTGCGATTAACCTAAAGGCTTTGCGATTAACCTTAAGGCTATTATATTATATTATAAATATTGTTATATTTATAAGTGAAATTTAGCGTTGCGTATTAAACTGATGTAATGTGCTCAAGCACGATAAAATGTAAATAACAAATAGTTTAAAACAGAGGTTCCCAAACTTTGTTGTGTCGTAAACCCCTTGCCATATTTTTCAATTTTGAGTAGACCCTACTTATCTGATACTGATTTTTTGTAAATTTCTAACTGCAGTGAAGTTTAATTTTTTGCTGACGTAGACCCCTTCCAGGTTGTCATAGACCCCTGGGGCTCGATATATATTTTAAACCACTTTGGGAATAACTAGTTTAAAATATAAACTTTCAAGTATATAAAATTATAGAAGATTTACAAAATTATGAAATACCAATTCTTGAAAAAACTAATAAAAATATCAGCAGTTTAGTTGATTTGAAATCTGAAGATAAAACTTATAGGGTAAAAATTTATAGGGTATAGATATATATATATAAAAGTTTATAGGGTATAGATATATATAGGGTATAGAAATATATAGGGCATAGATATATATTGAGTATATATATATATATATATATATATATATATATATATATATATATATATATATATATATATATATATATATATATATATATATATATATATATATATATATATATATATATATATATATATAGTTTATAGGGTAAAAGATATAGGGTAATAGTTTGACATAATAATATAAAATCCCTTTCCACAGTTCACTATTAAAGATATAAAAGGAAAATACAAAGCAAGTATGAAAAATGAAGTGACTTAAAGATTTATATTAGCAGACTGTCTAGCATTTTTAGAAAAGCATATTGCTCATGCCCTGCAAGAAATAGTAAGTATTGTAATCACGCAATGGAGTTATTATTTGAACTTACTCTTTAAATTTACTTGAGTATGTACCTGAAGAGATTTCATGCATAAGTAGATCAAGACAATAGAGCATTCCAAGTCATGAATGAAAACAATTAAATTGTTTACAAATGTCCACAAATTTGAGTTCAAGCGTGGCATTAAGACAACCTTATATGATTCAAGGCGAATAAAATATAAAGAAGAAGATAAACGAAATTATATGCACTTCAAAATCAAATGTTGTTTTTTTAAATAAAAATAATGGTATTGTTCATTGTGTACCTGACATTTTCAGCTTTACTGTAACATCATTTAGAAATTTTCCAAATTTTCCTTTATCTCATCAACTTCAGGTAAATGAAACCTTTGAAGTTATTACCAATTTTAAAAAAAATTCTAATTCTAGCAATTTCATTTAATGTATCCAATATCCTTCTACATTTACAAATTAGCTTTTATAATAAAAATAATTGCTTTGTACCACGCAACTGGGAACTAATCTCTTCTAAACAAAGTAGATATTATGAAGCTGATATAATAAAACAAAATGAAAATCCACTATCGTTTAATCTAAGAAAACTTCGTTTAACTTTAAGTACTCCTCATAAAATTTATATCCAAATAAGAAAAAATTTAAAACTCTTGTTCAGCAGGTAATTAACCCCAATAAGCTGTTGATTTACTAAAAATTTTACGAGAATCTTTAGATAACTGCCATGCTTATGAACCACATGCTGGAGAGAAATATATTGAAGTTTTAAAAAATAGGTTAAATCTTAATATTTTAGTAAGGAAAACTTGTATTGTAATAAAACTTAATTTATTTTGGTTATCTGCAAATTCTGACGGTCATGTATGTGACAAAGAAGCTGAATATTATTACGTCATAATTGAAATTAAATGTCCCAAAACAAAAAAAAACAAAAACTTATAAATTTCCGATTGTTTGTTGGACAATGACTTTTATATTAGATTAGACAATGGTGAACCAAATTAAAAAAAAAATTATCTGATTTGTTTTGAATTGTGTATATATTAAAAGAGATTGCTATCATAAGAAGATCTTTTGACAATCAGTTATTTTTTGAATTAGTTACCAAGTTAAATTGTTTTTACATCAACTATTTTCTGCCACAAATATTAGATACTGATGTTATTAGTCAAGAAATAATATTATCCCTGTAAATAAATGTTTTTATTTTTGATTTGATTTTTTGCTAAGTATACTTTTGAAACAATTTTTTGTCTGTTGACATCTTTTTATAACTATGAATAAATTTTTTTTTATATTGATTCAATTGATTTTTTATTCTTTTATTTTGAAATCCAAAAAGCGCATTTTGTAAATCAACTCTTGTTTGACTTTTTCCAATAAATCATTTTTATGTTGTAGGTCAACACAACAACTACTTTTTAGACTGCTGTCAACCTAAAAGTCAACCCTACTTTGCTGTTAATTTTAATGTCTTTGTTTTTAAAAACTTTTTCAAAATTTTCAAGAAGATTTTCTCTTTCTAGGAGTAGACCTTATTTTTCCATCTATTTGTTTTTTAAATTAAAAATAAATGGAAATGCTTCCTTTTTTAGCATTTTTTGCTAATATTTGTTGATAGTTGAATATTTTTAACTTTAAAATAAAGCTCAAATACTAAAGTTATATCTTTTATAACGAAAGTGTCACAACCCTCTTTTCTTCTATGCGGAGAAATAATTTTAGACTAATTTAATCTTTTAATTTAATCCAACTTGTTTCCTTGAAAATCGCAAAATGCGCTTTTGCATTATGAAATAAGCATTAAACTCCACTGCCTCCTTAATCTAGCTTTTTGACTTTTTTCAATGTCATCAAAAGAAATACCGTAAAATTGCCTAAGCTCGGTCACTTAAGCTTTGAACATTTATTTATCACGCATAAATAAAAAATTTTCAACTTTTTTTTCCTGAAACATACAGAAAATTGTATTGGTAATTAATATTGTAAAAATAAAAAAATGAAAAAGAAAAAATAGTACTCATTATTAAATTTAAAATGAAAGCATCTACTTTGACCGAACTTTCAATACCATCTCATAAGTTCGGCCGGTATATAAATACTAATTACGTATCACAAACTTAACGTCACAAATAAGGAAAACTAAATTTTAAATGTTGTTTTACTGTAAAATTATGATATAAATTCAGGTAATACCAGTAATTAAGGAGGGCGTCAGCCCGGGCTCAAAAAAAAAATTGTTTTGGGGCATTAAAGAAAACAAGGAGAAGCAAATAAAAAAAGGCCTTTTTAAATATAAGTGGTAGTATTTTTAATTTTTAGTGTAATTAGTCAATTATTTTATTACTTGGCTATTATCACATTTGCTACGCCACTGGTTAATAAAATTAAAAATATATTTTTCAGTTAAATTTAAAAGATTTTTTCAATTAACAAAAAAAAACTACTTTAAATGAGCTTGATATGTTTATTGGCAATTCTTGCACGTATCGTTGACCATAGTAGAACAGCAAGATCCACACAAACAATCGTCACAGGATTCTCAACGCATCCATTATTGTCGTTGAGCTTTATCTCCAAAAAAAATGTCACAAGCTTGATATTTTTTAGAACTCAAAAAACCGTCAGTTAAATTTGAAATTATGAACATATTTTTTATTCAAATAAAATACTATGGTGTGTATCTATTATAAAAATGTCAAAAATTTACTGGTAAATTTACAGGTAAAGTTACCGGTAAATTTTACTTTCGCAACACTTATTAACATTTCACAATATTATTGGTAATGGACCGTTCCCTCTATAGAAAAAAACCACAGTGCATTTTGGTCTTTGTATTCACCGAAAATAAACAAACCCAACAAGCACAATCAACGTTGAAACAACGGTGAAAAACTGTTGAAATTTATGGTTGAAAAATGGTTGATTTTTGATTGAAATGGAAACACAAATCAACGTTGAAAAAAAAAACGTTAGATCAACGTTGAAAACAAACCAAATATCAACCTTAGATTAACGTTGATCTATCATTGATTCAACTAACTTATATACGAGTTTATAAACCTCAAAAAAACAGTTTTTTGCGCCATGACTCTTTTAATCCAAAAAAACATTTATTTTTTGTACAATATTGTGTTGTTATGAGTAAGAAAAGAAACAGTAATCTTTATAAACTTATAATAGCTGTGCAATAACTTATTCTATTGTACTGCACATCTTGTTCTCAATTTTTACAGCTTTCTCTTATTATTATTAGTAATATAATTAGTTTATTTTATATTATAATACTAACTGTTGCTATAGCATTATAAATAATTTACCCTGTACCATATTTTTAACGCAGATAAATAAATTATAGAAATTGAAAGGCAATTATTGAAAGCAAATAAAACCAAAAAAAATAATTTATACATTTTTAGAACAATAACTTATACAAAATTAAAGTTATTTTTAAAACGATCTTGATAAAATCATGATATCTTTATCTTCATCACCAATATCAAATTCATATATATTTTTATTTCCTTCTGTTATCAGAATCATTTTGATTTGATGCATTTTCCACAATCCAATCAATATGGTGCAACCTTCAAATAATCTAAATTCTATCTTTGTGCATTGTGTACTTTTATTTAAGAACATCAGGTAACTGCATCTAAATAAAAATATTTTTAAAGTAAGGTACATTTGTACATTTTACAAGTATTATTATACTTCACAATGTTCACAAGCGAATTAGAACATTAAATGATCCATAGTAGGAAAAAAACATCAACCCATTACTGATCCATGCCTAATTTACTTCATTATTGACCAAGATATCAACCTATTTGAATAATTATACATTATACATCAACATCATACATCAACGCAAATACACACATAACACAAACCTTTTAGGCAGTTATACATCGCTTAAGTCAAACATTCGTTTAGTAGAACCGTTTTCCTTGGTCCCCTGGAGGGTCAAGAAAAACTAACTGTATTTATATATACATATATGCATATAATTATACACATATGTATATATACATATACACACACACACACATACACACACACAAATATATATATATATATATATATATATATATATATATATATATATATATATATATATATATATATATATATATCGGTGGAAGCAGCACAAAGAAATATAATATACATACCATTAACACCCTGTAAATATTTAAAATCCATTATCTTTTGCTTGTTTTGTATTAGATCAGGTCAAGTTAAACTTTGTTTTTAATTTATTTGCCATTAACCTGCGAAATCAAAACAAATTTATTCAAAAAAAAAACAAAAAACAAACAAACAAAAAACAGTAAAAATACAATCAAATCACAAATCAAATAAATTAAAGAAATAAGAAATTTATTTAAAAATTTGTCATTTATGCAACTTGATGATTTAGATTATATTATGTGTAAAAAAAACTATTAGCAGAACATTGTCATGAATGGTACACTATTGATATATCCAAAACAATTATCTATGATGGCAGAGTAATAAAAGTTAATTAAAAAAGTCATAATTTACATTCTTTGTTAATGTTTAAATAATGACATATACATTATATAAACAGAATGTGTTTTATTTTAATTTAAACTCCATTACAGTTGAACAGCTCAACATTAACAAAACATTAAAAAAAAATCTTTTTGTTCTTTAGATTTTCATTGACTGGCTCCTTTCTCTGGATGAGCATTATATGCACATGACAAAACAAAGTAGATATATTTAAAAATGACTTTGTTGTATACTTTAGCTCCTATATTATCAAAGTCTACATTAACTAGTCAATTTTTTGCTTTTTAACTAAAACTTTAAATTTAAATTCTGTTCTACTGTGCAGGCCATCTTTATTTTATTTTAATAATGCGGGTAAATATTAAAAAAAAACAAGGATAAAACGAAAATATCAACCTGCTTTGAAGTAATGTTAACGCCTGCAATCATGTTTTTACTTTACCTGACGTTATTATACCGATCCCTAACAAAAAGAATACAATAAATACTTTAATTAAAATTTGATAAAGATTAAAGTACCAAAACATACTGGTCCACGCTACAGTTTCATAATTATAATAAGACTTTGATTGTATATTTGAAATATATGTATATATATATATATATATATATAATATATATATATATATATATATATATATATATATATATATATATATATATATATATATATATATCCCGGTGGGAAATGAGCTAGCGACTAGCGAACGACTAGCTAACTTTATAGCGATTTTCTTGCGATTTTTTTTTTCTTATTTTGTTATTTACTAATGTCTCTAATAATTGATTGCATACATTTATAATTCAATTATTGATTGAAATCATTCATCAATAATTGATTGAAAACATTGCGATTTTGTAGTAATGTGTCGCTAGCTACATATTGTAGCTTTGTAGCTAGCTACAAATTATCTACAAATCTATAGCTGGTTGATAGCTACATTCCAACATTTTTTTGATAGCGATTTTATTACGATATGACGGTAGCTGCAATATTTTTTTTTTTAACATCTTCGCTTCCAACAAGTCTGCAAGCAACCACTAATTACTGTTGGAAGTTACTGGAAGAGAAAAGATGAAGATTGTAGAGCAAGATAACGGTTGACAGACGACTTAAAAGATTGCAGATTATATGAATCTTGAAAGCAAGATGAAGGAAGCGAATTCCAAAGAACTGATGTTCGAGGAAAAAAACTAGACGAATAAGAGTTTTTGGAGCACTTAACAACAGTAACAGAAAAAGGATGAGACTTGATTGAATGACGAGTAACACGAGAATGAATTTTAGTAGATGGCACAAGAGACGCTAGCTTTTTAGAGCAGTGCCCATTATAGTATTTGTAGAAAAGAGAAAGAGAAGCAACATTACGACGATGTGACAGAGGTTGAAGGTTGGCTGCAAGAGCAGGTCCAACTATGTTTACAATGCGTTTTTGCTTCTTGTCTAAAAGAGAAAGGGCATCATTAGAAGATCCACCCCAGATATGGCAACAGTATTCCATACAAGACCGGATTTGAGATTTATAGAGATAGGGAATAGAATCCAGAGTAAGAAAGTGTCGAGCTCGATAAAGAGATGCAACTTTAGCAGATGCTAATTTTGCAACGGATTTGATGTAAGGTTTCCAAGAAAGATCAGAAGTAAGAGTTAATCCTAGAAGATGAAGGGTAGACGACTCATCGAGTACATTACCGTTCATAAATATAGGAAGGTCTAAATTATTGCGATAACAATTGGTTGAAAAAAACTGAAGTTTATCTGAATTAAAGTTCACCAGCCACTGTGAGCCCCATGCTGTAGCAGAAGTGAGATCCTTTTCAAGCTCAAATTCCCCCTGCAAGCAATCAGTGGGAGTTGGCTTCTTATCGTGAGAAGAATAAATGATAGTATCATCAGCGAACAATGCCATCTTAGATGTGAGAGTATCTGGAAGATCGTTAATGTAAATTAAAAAGAGTATAGGGCCAAGGGTTGAACCTTGAGGAACCCCTGAGGTAACAGAATAAGAAGAAGAGTGCTGTCCATCAAGGACAACTTTTATACTACGATTGGAAAGAAAGGATTCAATAATCTTAAAGATGTTTCCAGATACACCGTAAGAAGAAAGCTTATGGAAAAGACCAGCATGCCAAACTTTATCAGACGCTTTAGAAATGTCAAGAGCAATGGCCTTAACCTCTCCACCTTTATCTAATGCACGATAAAACCTATCGGTTATTACTATTAGCAAATCAGCCGTAGAACGAGAAGATCGAAATCCATATTAATGATCAGAAAGTAGGTTATGAGATTCAAGATGAGAGATTAAGTGTTTGTTAATTAAAGATTCAAAAACCTTGCTTATGATAGAAAGAAGACTAATGGGACGGTAGTTAGATGAATCGGATTGCCCTCCAGAATTTTTTAAAATAGGGAAACAGATGCTGCTTTCCAGCAGGCTGGAAAACAAGACCTTGATAAGCACTTGTTGAATAGTTTTGAAAGGATAGACGACAGTTCCGGAGAACACTTCTGCAAGACAATAACAGGTATGTTGTCCGGGCCGCAAGCTGTAGAAGAGTCTAAGCAGGAAATCAATTTAGATACAGAGGCTGGAGAGATATGGATGTCACGCAATGGATCAACCTGTTTGACAGCTATATCAGATAGAACGCAACTAATGGAATCAAGAGATGATATTGATGAAAAGTTCTTAGCAAACAATTCAAATTTGTCTTTAGGTGAGGTGACAAAGTCTGAACCATACAAAAGAGGTAGAATTACAGACTTGCCTTTATTATTGATACTATTAAAGATTCTCCAGAAGTCACGAGAGCCTAATTTTTATGATGAAATACGAGATTTTATGATCTAAGAATAGCGGGCTTTGGCGTTAGACAAAACCTTTTTACAATGGTTCCTAGCAGTATAAACAGACGTCTGTTTTCTGGAGAATTGTTTTGTTGATAGATATGGAAGTAAGGGTTTCGATTGGCAATTGCAGCAGCACAATGCGAGAAAAACTATGGAGAAGAGTGAGGCTTGAACTGGAATCGTCGAGAGGGAATAAAGAATTCCTTGTCAGCCTGAATCCACGAAGTTATGTAAGAAGCATATATGTCAATAGGAAGACGAAAGAAATCTACCCAGGGGCCATCACGAAGAAAATCACGGAAAGAGTCCCAGTCAGCTTTAAGGTAGTTGTAAGATGTACGATGATAGGGGGATTCTGATCATAAAGAAGAATGAGATAATAATTTTAGAGAGACCAAACCATGATTGGATGCACCTAAGGGTGAGTGTGGAGAAACTGAGCACTGACTAGGATCAGAAACAAGACATAAGTTGAGTAGAGAAGGTAAATGATTCGGGTTGTCTGGAAAGCGAGTTGGAAAGTTGACTATTTGAGTTAGGGATTGAGAGAGGCAAAAGTTGTGGGCTTTAAAGCCTGCAGAGTCACTGATACTAGAGCCAAGCCATTCAGTGTGATGAACATTGAAGTCACCGACAACAACAATATTGGCTGATGGATAAAGAATGAGGGCTTGGTCAATATGATCAGAAATAACACCAAGAAGAGTGCAGTCTTGAGATGAGGCAGAGCGATATAGAACAAAGAGAAAGGTGATAGAGTGAAGTGGTGCTAAACGAAAGCACATGAAAGAGTAGTCTGTGGATTCAAACCTAGTTTCCCGACAAATGGGTGAATTCTTACGAATGTAAATGCCCAGGCCAAGCATATGACTATTGGAGTCTTTACGAATTAAAGGAAGATAACCATCAACACTAAGATCACAAGATGAGACAGTTGAACTCAAATTAGCCTCACAAAGAGCAAGTAGGTCTAGTGAACTTTGCAAGAGATAAGATTCAACAGAAGAAAAGTTACTTCGAAGACCACGAATATTAGTGAATGATAAGTTTAGTGAAATTGGTGATGACTGTGTTTTTTTTGTGTTTTATAGTTTTTGTTACTTTATTCATTTTTAGATTTGTTAAAGAACTTGACTTGAAACATAGATAGTACTCAGTACACTGTTTTATAACCTAAGCAATTGCCTTAATCTTAATCATATATAATCTTTAAATGATTTAAAAATTCATCTTTAATCCACCATTTTTATATAAAATATGCAATGTAAAGTATTGTACACAATGTAAAAAGACTCTTAAAAAACTTGTGTATAATGCCAATTCTAATAAATTTTTGTAAATTTATACATGTTTTCATAGCAAATAAATCTTATAATGTTTTCACTTTTATTACATTAACACATTTATTAAAAGATTTAAAGAACTATCCCACGCACTAACAAATGGTTGGCAAAAGAAACTATCGTTAAAAAAAAAATCGCTTTATCACTTGTAATTATGAGTAATTTGCTTTAGGTATAATTATGCAAAACATGCAGATTGTTTTGAAATGTTTAAAATATAATAAAATAATATAATAATAAAAGCTTTTGTTTATGAAAAGCCGCAAAATATTTTACTAATCTTCTTGTTACTAAGTTAACAATCTAAATCAGTTGAAAAATGTTTTGATAAATCTATTAAATATTGTTTTGATAAATTTATTAAAATAGATTTTTCATAACTTTAATTGACAAAACTTTATATTTTTATATTATTATTGGAACATTTTGTAAATAACTTGATTGCGCTATTTAAATTTAATTTAAATTTTTAATGTTTTATTAAGTTTATTGTAAATCCTATATAACTTTTTAAAACTACCTTTTCATTTCCATATCCAGTTTTTGCGTTCCTTTAAAAGCCTCGTTAAAAATCGCGCGTTTAGAATTTTATAACTTGCATAATTATAACTAAAGCAAATATGCGCATAATTACAAGTGGACTTTGATCGACATCTGAGTGACCATATGAGTGACCATCTGAGTGACCATCTGAGACACCATATGTGAAATATTAAATTCCGAATTATTAGTACATTTGCGTCGGCGAACTCTCATATCTAAATTTCAACGTTATTTTAACGTTTATTTTTCAACGTTAAATCAGCGTTTGTTTTTAGTTGAAAATGAACGTTGAATCAACGTTGAAATTTCAACGTTTTTTTAAACGTTGAACTAACGTTGTAATAACGTTGAAATTTAGATCGTTATTTTTCAACCATATATCAACCATTTCGCAACGCTGAAAGAACGTTAAAATAACGTTATGTGCTTGCTGGGAATTATCAAAACATATTATCATATCAGCATAAAACAAAGTTGATAGTTATGAAATTAGTTTGGAACATGATTTAAATGATATTTATATTGATCCATGTTTTTTTAAAAACATTCCAATCGCTATTTAACAAGTATTTCGAGAAATATCAACTCAGTTTAATCAAATAGATGCTGAAGAAGTTGTACAGGAACAAATAAGCTCTTGATCAAGATGTCTATCCTTACTACCTAATATAAGCCAAGAAAAAATACACAAATACTTAATTATAGACGATAGTTTGACTGATTTC